GGGCGGGCCCTTCGGCTCTCGTGCCCGCCCCCTGCGCTCGCCGGGTCCGCACGTGTTGGCCGCGGCCTGGAGTCCAGCTGGGTCCCCAATACCCGCGCCCGCATTCTGAAGGGTGTTGGGAGTTCACGTCCACACCCGATCTTTTTTTCTTACGTGTTAAAAGAAATCCATTGTTTTTTTCTGATTTAATTTTGTTTTTAGAGTTGGGGGGTCGAGATGAGGTCTTTGGATTTGGGGAAGTTTGTGGGTAGGTACATCCTAGGGGAAACCGAGGCCCGGAGTAGGAATGCGAACTGCCCAATTTTAGTGAGCGGGTGGTGCCGGTTCTCATCTCATTTTACATAGGCTCTGTGGCTTTGCTGTGCTACTTAATGAACTAGCTACAATAACATTGTCTTGCTTCAGGAAATAGAATTAATCCTGGCTTAAAAGGATATGAAATTCTTAGCAACTCAGGCTCTAGAACCAAAAAGGGGGAAAAAAGGCAATTATTTAAGTAATGTCTGCCTAACATGCTCACCTTTTGACGAATCGAAACTGTTTGGGTAGGGAGGCACTGCGGGACAAGTGGCGGAGGGTTGGCACGCATGTGCTCTGGCTTGTGCCTGTGCTCTGTGGACAGCCAAAGAGGGCCCGGAGGAAGTCATTTCATTCTGCCAGGATGATTGGCAGCAGTGACTGCTTCTGATGGTCCAGTGACACGTGAGCAAATGGGAACAAATACACCCTTGTCCAATATATGTCCAAACTACAATAATAGCAAGCTTTGACTTGAGTTCTTACTGTCTGAAAGCACCAAGTTAGGTGTTTCATAGATTCCTCACTTCATTCTCATCACCACCTTGTCATTACCTTCATTTTATGGTTGAGGAAACTGAGTCAAGACAGGTTAAGTAACTTGCACAAAGTCACCCAGCTTGGAAGTTGCACAAACAACTCTCTCTCTCTCTCTCTCTGTCTCTCTCCGTGCCTCTTCCTGGAGAGCACACGTGCCCTAGGGATGTGGGGGAGTTAGCTCTTTCAGAAAAGACTACCAAAACACAAACAAACAAACATGAAAAACCAAACCTCTATTTGAATGGACATGATAACATAATTATCCTGGTAATATAACTAACTCTATTTTGACTTCAAAATACCCACTTGAGATAATATGTAATGATATTGATGTTATGGGGTTTTAGGAGATGATAAATTCCCATATGCCCATCATCTGGAAAAGCAGTGTTATATGTCTGTCATAAAATGAAAGTTCTGATGTCAATCAATATAAAGACCATTTTCCAGCACATAGAATCACCCTAGGATTTTCAATAGAACAAAGAATCTATGTACTGAAGTCATACATCATTTGGATAGGTGTTACCTTGACGCCAAATTAGTCTTTATATGTGTTCTCTCTGATAATTTCCTAATTTGGTTTTCTTAGCATGACAAGTAAAAAATATGTGATGATCAGTCTATCTTCATACCTAAACAGGGCCTGTCATTTCTATAGAGAAAAGGAAGAACAGAAAGTGAGGAAGTAGGAGGGACCAGCAGTTAGCATAATGGCTATGTCACTGGACTCCCATGTAGTTGACCTTGGTTAGCGTCCCAGACCTGGTGGCTTAAAACTCACACTGGGCACGTGTGCATGCATGCCCAAGATCCCCAGAGGAGAATGGAGGAGAAGGGATTGCGGCGTGGCCATCCCTCCTGGGGGGTGATTTCTCGCTTTCTATCTCTCTGTCTCTCTCTGTCTGTCTGGAGAGCACACGGGCCCTATAGCAAAAGAAACAAACAAACAAACAAAAAATTCTCCAAAAGAAAGTGAGGAAGTAGGAGTGGGCTGGAGAGGGAGTAGAGACTGGTTCATTATCTTGCTCCCAGTGCTTTTATAATCTATGGCATCCCTGATACACTATTTGGTTGTGTCTTTTGTTGTTGTTTGTTGCTTGGACTTTTTTTTGTTTTTTACTTTTAGTCTCTTGAGCTTAGAAGTTCTTCCAGAGGACAAGAGTCATATTGCTATTTAGCCCCTATGTACTTATTCCAAAGATTCCTTCAGAGGCCCATTTATAGTATCCATAATTCATTTTGTCATGAAAACAATATGACAGATGGCTCAGCTCCCTGTCTGGAAGAGACTTTGGAAGCCCCCAGATTTTGGAATCAACAGACTAGTCTAGTGAGGCTTCTCTGGTTCCTGGGAATAAAATGCCAAGAAGCAAGAGAGAGGAGAGAATTGTCTCCAGACTTCATCGTGGGCATAAACTCTGAAATAGAGTTGTCTGCTGTCCTTGTAAAAGTAAGTTATATTTCTGCAAACACGCTTTATAACCTTTGGTTTGTTTTGTTACAACACTCTTTTCAGAACCAACTTTGTCTTCCTCTTTCCTGATCTCCTATGCTCTTCTTGTAGAGCTTTTGATTTTAGCCACCTCCTTGTGGCTCCCCACTGGGGGCTGCAAAAGTGTGTTGCCATTCTACTACGCCCACCTCATGTGGAATGATGCTGGCCACAAAGAATCTAAGAATCATAGGTATGGACACACTTTTTATGGTTAAGAGAGCTAACTTTGGGAAGGCCGTGTGGTTGAACTCAGACAACTCTCTGTATTTGCTAATGGCTCTCAAGTTCAATAAGTTCTGTGTACCAATTTCCACAGGATATTAGGAGAAAATTTAGTCTTATTAGAATCATTCATCTATACACATTGAGAAGCTTGTGAAATAATTAGTGTTTGTCTTTTTCTTAATCTTTCTTTTATTTTATAGTGCTATGTTGCACAATTCCAAGAGACACACACATTTTTTAATCTATGTGACTGATGTCCTTATGTATTTCTATTTACTTTTTTCTAAAAAATTACGTAATTTCTTTCATGTATATGACTTTTATATTTGTACCAGTATTATTAGCCTAACCTTTTAGTTTAAGAAAACTGAGGCACATCAAAGTTAAATAACTTACTCAGAATTATACTCAGTTATTGAGCAGCAGAACTGAAACTTAAAGTGAAGTCTATCATCTCTGAGCTACTATGTCAAAATACCATAGACTATGGTGTACAAATGAAAGAAATGTATTTGTCATAGTTCTGAAGACTGTGAATTCCAAGGTCAAGGCATGAGCAGAGTCTGGCCTTCACGGTGTCTAGTGAGAGTCCGGTTTTTGGTTCATGGATGATGTGCCTTGGACCTGCATCCTCATGTGGTAGGAGTCAAGGCAGGTCTTTGGGGTCTTTTTATAAGAGCATTAATCCCATTCCTCAGGGCTCCATCCTTATGAGCACATCTCCTGCCAAAGCCTTAATCAAACTGATGATTTAGATTCCATGAGAGAATTTTAAGGACACAAATGTTCAGGCCATAGCATTCATACTGGCTATCAACTAGTCCTCCCTTTGGGTATTCATTTCTACATTTGTTTTGCCTGACTCATTAAGCTGCTATGAGTGACAGAGAGTAGGCAAAAGAGTTGGGTTTTTGTTTCGTTTTGTTTTAATAGAGATTTTTATTATACAGCATGTGTGCTTGCCAGAGAGAGAGAGAGAAAGAGAAAGAAACTAAGAAATCAGCCCTCAGGAGGATTGCCACACTGCAATCCCTTCTCCTCCATTCTCCTCTTGGGATTTTGGGCATGCACACACATGCACCCGGTGTGAATTTTAAGCCACCAGGTCCAGGACTCAAACCACAGTTGACTACATAGGAGTCCAGTGACATAACCTTTACGCCATCTATTGATCCCAGCAAAAGAGTTTTAAAACTTAAAAATGCTATTCACCTGAGAGACATTAATGTTAAATTCCATACAGCATCTTGAACGTGACTCTATAGGGTGAATTAAATTTAATGTGCCTTTTATACATGCATGCTTCAGTTCATTTACTAAACTAATCAAGCAAGGCACCTTCAATTGATGTAGTCATAATTTGGGGGTTTTAGTAACTTTAGGAAAGACAAACTTGTTTAATACTGTGGATCGAGGTCTTGCAAAATTATGGTTATAGTACATCTTGTAGAACTCATATACCTAATTTGAAAATTTAGAATTTAGAATTATATTGTACATATTTATATAACTGTGCTTTAATGGAAGTCAATGTAAAGTTATATGTAATCCAATGTAATATAAAGAAGATTATGATAATAATAAAAATTAAAATAAAAAAAATAACTGTGCTTTAAACTGGGGAGGCAAAAATGTGCCTTCTTCAATTCTGAGAATTAAAACAGATTTTCAAAAAGTAGTTTTACTCAACATTAGAGAATTAAATTGGGTTATGATTCCTCCTTTCTTTTTTTTGCTTACAATCTAATTTCTTTCAGAGCCTGTTTCTATAGGAAAGATAGCAATAGACTGCATGAACATTTTTAAAGTTTTAATTAAGTTTGAGACAGAGAGAAGCTGAAAGGGCAAGGGAGGCAGAAACCACTGACAGGGCTTCACCACATCTCAATTCTCCCCAGCCTGCCAGCCAGTTAGGATCATGGGCGTGCCACAGGTGGGTCTGGTCTATTTCAGGTGGACCAGGGATTCAG